CCACAGGGCCCAGAAAAGCTGCTTCACATCTGTGTAGCAGGTTTAATGATTGATTCAAAAGGGAATCTGTTCCCTTTTGAAGCAAGAATTTTTTTTCCTGAGTGACAGATCTTATCCAGTCACAAGAACAAGGCAGCTTCACAGTGAAATATGTGATGACAAAATCACTGTGCAGAGGACAGTGTGCTTAAGGGGCTGTACCAAAACAAGGAAGCAGTATCCAAGCCCACATTTCCTTTGTACCAGGCACACTATTGCTGAATTATTGTTGCTGCTTTCCCTCTAAACTACTTGCCTATGCTACAGAATAGTCTTTTCCTACACTACAGCAAAGTCTTTGCCTACTGCCACTCTTAGATGCATTGAAGAACCTGCTTGTGGAGCCACTGCCTTTTTGAGACCAAAATGAACATTTTCCTTATTCTTTCATTCAAATGCAGCAGTGACCAGGCAGAAGCAGCCCCTGCAGAGCCACACAGCACAGAAGAGTGTGATATGGGCTAGCCATGTTGTTGTCTCCTTTCCTATACTACAATCAAGGGACTTGTAAGGGTTTCCTCACATGTCTCCCTGTCTACATTTGAAGGCAACAGCTCCTCTTCCCTTCCCAGCCTCAGGGAGAGCTGCTGGCTGGCTTTGCTCTCTCTCCCCTCAAGTGAGGAGAACAAGGGAGTTGGTGGCTTCAAAACTTCTCAAACGAAGTAACCCTTTTTCTAAAGCAAGAAACAAACTAAGCCAATAAGCTGCATTAGATGAACAGATAGAAAGGGGTTTGGGTGAGAGCTATTGAGGGAGCTGTGAGGAGTATGGGAGGGGGTTGAGGGGAAAAGCTGAGCTCATTGCATCCCAACCAGACAACATCAGGCAGGAAACAGATGTGGAAGAAACCACAGAGGGGTGCAGCAACAGCAGAATTAACTCTCCAGCAAATATGGGAGTCTCAGACACACAGTGCTGACCTACACCATAAGAACAAGGCATCAAGTCTGAGATTTGGCTTTGTGCACACCTAGTAGGACCTCTTAGCCCAACATCTCGACACCAGCATACCAAAAAACCCACAGGAAACATTCAGGCTTTTTTCAAGTCCTACCTGGCTCTAAGTATATGAAGCAAAGATAGGTTTAAATTGGTAGTGGTTCCTATGCAAAAGACTGGATTATCTTTTACCATCACAATCCAATTCCTGTAGATGCTGTGTGCATTTCCATTTTAAAGAGTGGAAGTTGTACCTGGCTGTATACCTGAAATCCCAGCTTGAATCACTCACAGTTAGAAGAACTGGGAATATTAAAATTCCTTTTGATTTAGTTCCTCTCACTTTAACAGCTTTGACTCTTACAACAGCCTCCTCTTGCAACACTTCTGTGATATAACCAGAAGCAAGACTGTTCTTTGTGACTGTTTTCTTAAGCAGTTCAGAGTGTCCTGCCCCAGCTAAAGATGGTGCACAAACTTGTGTCTTGTCTTCTCTGCTGGCCCATTCATAACCAGAAAATTATATTGTTGTTATTACAGTAACTGAGAGCCTGATGTGCAACTTCCACTGACTTCAGCAGAGGCACAATGCATTTTTCTCCTCTGGAAATCAAGCTGGTTATCAAGAGGCCAAAACATGACTCGAATGTTAATCCTTCAAGACTATTATCTGTTAGCCCCATTACACAGATATATTTCAGTGAAGTTTGGCACAGTAAAAAGTTTTAGTAGAAGGCATTAGCACTCACTTCCTTCTGCATGGACACCTATCCATGTCCAAAGTCTGGGCATGGACACTGCTTTCTAGTGAAGCTTTTATATTCCAAAAGATCACTTGCTTTCAAGTGTGGATTCAGTGCTAAAAGTGACACAGGAGGGACTACGTAAAATTAGACAACTTTTCCTTATTGGTATTGCCAGCACCATTCCTTTATGTCTGATGTGAGCTTGTCCTCAATACACACTGCTATTTAAGCTATTGTTTGATAATTATGGTGAGGAGGAAGAGAAGCTTATTTTTTCCCCAAGTTTCTAGCTCTCTTACCAAAGAAAGACTTGAAAACATAACCCAGATGCACACTGAAGTTTTGGAAAACAGAAAGTGGACAAAGAACCCAGCACAGATTCTATATCGTGGTTTCTGTGGCCTGAGTCATGATTTTAAATGCTTCTGTACACTGATAGCAGTCTGCCCCCATAAGAAGTGTGACCAGTGTCTGTGCAGAGACTGCCAGCAGGAAAAGGCCAAGTAGGGTCAAATGTGGTACTGACAGGAACTGACTTGAAACACAGTAAATTCAACACATCTGAGTGTGTAACCAACCACCAGACATCCACATCTGCCCATCACCACTGACCTGTGTCAGATCTGAAGAATCAACTTAAGGCTAAAGGCTTTGTATCATGTTTTTTGCTCCTGAGCTGCTTCAGTGTACCTGCTGAAGTCATCCTATTTGATTGTTTTTACATACTTTGTAGTTCTGCTGCAGCTTTTATTGTATTATCATAAAGTTCTTTCTAACAGAGGTTTAGGTACATGGATCTGGTAAGGGAGACAGCGGGATCTTTGGCTGTCTGAAGAGAACCATATCAAGTTATTAAAGAGTTAAATGGGAAGAGAGGAAATGCTGATACCTTTAGCAGAATATAATTCTCTCCACTGGAATTTGGCAACAACACAGGGACTAAGGTCCTTACAGAAAGCTCAAGCTGCTCGTCAACAACCACAAGCATGTAGGGACTTAAGTTGTGCCTCTCTTCCACAAAGCATCGCACAAGTTGTGCAGCACCCCCTAACTGTAAAGGTCATGTACTAGCCCAGAGGGAAAAATTCCAAACTGAATCATCTTCACTAGCCTTGGCCATCCCCTGTGCTCCCTTAGCCAGCACCAGCAAAGCAGGTCCAGCCTCTCCTTGCCTGTGCAGCTCCGGTCACACAGAGCGGCACTGCAGGATGGCATAACGCAAACCTGAGCACGGAAAGAAAGCACGACCAATATGACTCACGTCCTGCCGGGCCCACAGCATCTTCTTTTCCAGTTAACCCTTCTGGGTGCGTTTTAAAACCTGCTTTCAGAAAGGCCACAACAAAATGTTTGCTGGACAGCAGCCAAAGTGCTCTCCTGCTCCTCACCACTCTCAAATATCAGGAACGCTCTTAGAGCTTTGTTGCTTCTGAGTAGAGAACAACCTGAGCCTACATCCCACCAGTTAAACACACAGCGCTGAGAAGAAAACAAAGCAGAGAGAAAGCTACAGCTTTATGTCCCTACAAAACCTGCTGCTTACAGGAGCAATGACTTGTCACTGGAAATAATTCTTAGCAGGACAACTCAACTCTCCCCAAATCAACCATCTCTCATACTCTGAATGCTATTCTAATTTGGTTGCAAGTTTAGGATGCCCTGGTGACATCTCAACCTTTCTTTTTTCCCCCAATTCATCACTCCAGCATTCTTGGTTATTTCTATTTATCCTGAGAGTCCTCCTACCAACAAAATCAATTCTCTCTAATACTTTAATTTCTTTTCCCTTTGTCCTGATTAACTGTAATTTCCAATCCAATTTACACCCTTACCAATAAACCTACAACAACGCTTTTAGTTCTGTATCCCACAGCACTGGGCTGTGGGATGTGCTGCTGTAAACAGCTGTAAATAGTTCCTCCACCACAGAGGTCCATGGTAGCACTGGATGGAATTTATTTGTCTGCACCTCACACTGGCAAAAGGACATCAGCTCATTAAGTCTGTTATTTTTTGACACTTAATTCAGTTGCTTTTAAGAGCTATATAAGTTAAAAGATCCAGTACCTGTTGCAGACAACCCACAATGAAATTGAATGGCTGGTTTTCCCCCATACCTAAAAAAAATGCTCATATATAACATTTCATCTTAGTGATACATTTACTGCCCTCTTCACTGTGCAATGGAAAGTACTCCTGTTATGTAGCCCATCCCTCTGCCAGTGTGGTTCCACACTGCACTTCATCAGCCATGCTCATCAGCAAATGAAAGACCTGATTGTACAGCTCTCCCTGTACAAAGCTGACATTGCTGTTAGAAGTCTTTTTTTTTTCCCTTGAAATAACCTGACATTGGTAAAACTGGTCAATTCAAATTGGAACATAATGCTAAATCGGGATCATAATGCTAACGTCACAGATGGTAACAGGCATGTATTTATTTTTTCCTCTTGCTAAACTGCAGGTCCTTCTGCTGGCCAAACTCACAACCACTTCTCTTGTCATCCAACTCACTTTAAGAAAAAACGTTCTGCTCCTTCCATCGTCAAGGACTGACCATTTCAAACTCAGGACCCCCTTATTTTATTGAAGTTACCTCTTGTCTGAGCTACTGTGTTCTCATTCAATACCTGGGAGCATGAAGGTCAAGGGGAGAAGGAGTGAAAGCCAACAGGCAGGGTGGTTAGCTCAGGGTAGTTAGCTCAACGTGTTGGCTCAGATGCCTCCTACACCACACACCATACTCCACCCCATAACCCAGTCTCTGTCCTGTCTCTGTCCAGTAGTCCAAGGACAACATGGGAACTGTACTGGAGTCCAGTTCCTCCCTAGAGTCCTCCCAATTTCCAGTCTCATGGACTTAAGGTGGATTTTGAAATCCTGGAGGAGGCAACACTAAGCACAGTTCAGATTTCCAAACCTGGCTCCCTAAAAGCCTGTTACCCCCTCCACTGCCAGGCAGATGGAAGAGGGCATCACGACTGATGTCGGGCTGTCTTCATACACATTTAGGCAGCCCGAGAACCCCAGCCCAGTCCTTTCCACACACACAGCACTACTCATGCAAGGGTCATGCAGATGCATCACCAAAGCAATCTTCCGATCGTTCATTCATTGTGAGTAACGGGGCAGTGACTCCACTTCCCAGGGATAAATCAGCTCCAGGTTGTCTAACCCTTAGCTTGTGGAAAGGTCTGGTTTGCAGTCCTGCCAGTAGAACAGGGGGACACGCGCTTGGCTTTTCTGCAACCAGAGCGAGAATAAAGAAGCATTTACCATCCTGCCCAGAGCTCTCGAGATACTCCGTCAGGTCGCAGCCGAACGCGCTCGCGGCTCCCTTCCTCTTGAGTTTCTGTTTGGCTCCCTTGTTCTTCATGAGGTTAGTCCCAAAAGAGGTTCACCCCCCTCCTGCCTTGCCCCCCTCCCCCCGGCCTCACGCTGGGCGACAAAATTCTTGCTCTTCTCCTCAGACCACCGCCCGTGTCCCGCTCCCAGGGAGCAACATCGGGGGTCCCGTACAGCGTCCAGCCAGAGAAGTAAACATTAATCCCCACCAGATGTTGGGCTGCTCCTGTGGCAGAAGAAGGTCAGGGCGAGAGGAGGCTCCACAGCCCGCAGCAGCAGCGATCATAGCCTGAGCCCAGAAGGGTTCTCATCAGAGGCAAGTGGGTGGTGGGTGGGTGCCCGCATCAGAGCTGGCAAGTTGGGGGCAGGAGATGGTGGGAGGACGTCTTTTCCCTCAGCGAGATCCCGGGACCCTCCACAGCCACCTTCTGGCTTTCGTCAGTCGCGCTGTCGCCACTTCCAGCAGAAGGCGTCCCAGTCTGGTCGTCCTCCTCTCGGCTTTCGGAGGAGACTGGAAGTTCAAACGGACTAATGAAAAGGGACTGGGGAAGAGTCTGCACAAGGCTCCTCTTTGGCTCCCCCCCTTCCCCTCCTCCTGCTTTGGACACTTGGAGGAATGAGAAACCAGCTTCCTGTCCTGACTCCTGCTCAGTCGCTCTCTCCTTTCCCCCGTTTTACAAATCCTAGGATAATCCAGCTCAAAAAGAAAAAAAATGCTGAAAGGAAGTTAGCTGAGGAGGGGGGCGGAGGACGGTTTTTGGCAGTAAAGCGCGTGTGTGTGTGCGTGTGTGAGCGAGAGGCTGAGGGAAGGCGGGGAGAGGAGCTGGGGGAGCAGGGATGGGGATGGGGGAGGCAGAGGGAAGATTTGCCCTGGCAGATAGCGGATTGCCCGGGAGGAAATCCCTGCGGGGCCAGGCAGCCCCGGCGCGGCCCGGCGCTTCCTGCCCTAGCAGCCCGCAGCCCGGGTCCGGCGGCGAGCGGGGACACCCGGAGCCTCTCCAGTGAATCCCTGCCTCCGCTCGCCGCCTCCTTCGCTGCGAGGCGCCTTCCTGCCCTCCAGCATCTCTGTCACTGCCGGGTCTGCCTTCCTCTACAGAGCTGCTGAAGTGCAAGAAGGGGTCCGAGCGTCGGGGCATTAGAGGGGGAAGGAGCGAAACCTTCAGCTCCCTCCTCCCCGGCAAGCAGAAACAGATGCTCTTCGGGCATGTGAGTTCACATACTTTCGAGTCAGCTCCCAAAAAAGGCTCCCCCTGACCAACAAAGGGATTTAGATAAGGAGCTGGAATGACTCAGTACAGCAAGAAGGGAAATGGGACAGGTCTGCCTTCAGGCCCTGAGCCTTGTCTGTGTCATCATCCCCTTCACCTCACAAATACTTTCCTGGTCCAGTTTTCAGTACACACATATGCCAGCTCATTACAGCAGTTCCTTGCACTTACTTCATATATTTTTATCCCAGAAATTCAGATTTCATTACAGGACTGGGTATGACCACCAGCATACCCAAGGAGGCAAAATTAACTCTCCCAAGGCTTCATTGACCCCCTCTTACACTGTGCAAATGTAGCTGTATGGGTCTGGGTTAAAAAATTAGCAAGCAAATGAAAAACAGGATATTACAGCTTTTCACTAAAAATCGGGCCAAAGACAAGGAAAGTAGTTTTGGTTTGGAGGAAAACTGGCCAGGAAACAGGGCAAAGGACACCCTTAACCCACCTCCCTTCACAAGCCTTGGTTCTTCACTCTCATGGGTCAGAGGAACCCCTCTGCAAACTCACCACCTCACTCACTTGAGAGTAATTTTTCAGAGAAATCAAGCCTCTGTCTGAGATTTGACCACTGCCAAAATCAATTCAGGTTCTGTTGGTACAGTGACTTTTTTTTTCCTTTAGAGGTGTTGCATGTTACCACTTCACACATAAGTAAAAACACCAAGGGACCTAGTGAGGGACCTTGCACAGTTATAGCTCCAATTGTGCAGTTTATCACTGCAATTATCATAATTATCCCCATTTTACAGGTTGATGACTGATGGGTTGAGGGGAGAGTGATTTCCAGAATGTGTCACAGAGATGTCTGGCCTGTCACGTCCCTGCTTCTGCTCCCACTCTCAGGCTAAGGAGGAAAACTCAGCTCTCACTACCAGACCAGTCGTTGTTCTCAGGAACCCTCAGTCTCATGAAACACTTAGAACTTCCTTGAATTATTCTGAACTTCTCACAGCACCTTGAGGTTGAGTCAGAGCATTGAATCCCTCCCCGCACTGCCATGCCGCCAAAGCCATCGCGTGCCACAGCGCATCCTGCCTGCCTGCCAAGGGCTGCACTTCAGACAGCTTGCACAGACAACAGGACGCTCAGACCTGGACGCCTTGCCAGCCCATCCTCCCCCTGTCTGGGTGGCTGGAAGATGAAGCCCTGTCCTAGCCCCTCAGGGAGGAGGCGTGTCCTGCTGCACTCAGCAGCCCTTTCCCACATGGCTGAGTCCCCACACAGGACCAACAGTGAGAGAGCAAGTTCACCATGGTGAGTAACCACACCATCTTCTTTGAAGCCCTGAACTCCCCTCTGCAGACTCCTCCCTTCCTGAGCTAAACAAGATGTTTAATATCACTGTGCTGGTCTCCTCCACTGCTCTACATCAGATGGAGGTCACATCACTACCAGGGTCTATGTCCACCTGTGCTTTCATCTGGTGACCCTCTACATCATGCTCCTGCCCCATCTCCATTGCCCTCCATCATCTTAGATATGGTTTCTCTACACTCCTCTTGCAAGTCTATCCAAACAGAATGTCTTCAGACGAGGATGTCTTCATTTAAAAATAAATAAATAAATAAATAAATAAATAAATAAATAAATAAATTTTAAAAATAAAATCACCCCCTCCATAAGTTAAGCTTCCTCATGCCACCAGCGAGGGAGTTCTGGCCCCAGGGACAGGCAAGAACCCTGTGCAGCACGGACCCCCTCCCCTCCCTTGCACAGCCCTGCTCCAAGGTTCACTGTCCCAGAGCATGGGCACTCAGCAGCACTGCTGGATCAGCACATCACCCTCAGCCCGTGGTGTTTATTACAGGCCTGCAGGCATTTTCAGCTGGAAGCACCATTTCTTGGTGCCATCTTCGGAAGTCATGGTGGTGGGTCTTGCTGGCTGATGAACACTGCAGAAATTAGGTGCTGCCATCTTATTTTGGTTATATGGGATCTGTGGTCTACTGCCCTGATTCCAGCCAGGACCCTGGACCCTAAGTGTCCAGTGGCAGGCTGCACCAGCAGCCATCACCCCCATGGTACCGTAGTGGGGAAAGCAGAGAGACTGCCACCCCCGTGACAAGAAAAAACAGTATCTGAAGCACAAGCAGAGGGAAGAGAAGCGAGAAACAATCCAGGGAATATTTCTACTTTATTCACAGAAGCTCTTTCAGATGCTATAGGTTTGCTGCCCAGCTCCTCGTTCCCATGGAGGGAGGAGGCAAGCTGGATGAAAGAGGCGTGTGCTGCAGCAAGATAAAGAAACCCTGAGAAGCTCCAGGAGAGCTCTTGCCAGGCAGGCTGGGCTACAGGGGTGGCTCTTCCCATGCCAGGATAAGGTTCAGCAAGAGGACAGAGGGGAGGTTGCTACAGGAGTGCCCAGGGAGCCCGTAGCCAAGAAGAGGAGAGGAAGAAGGAGGAGGAGGAGAAGGTCAGGCAAGGTGAGCAGGAGCCAAACAAGGGAGGCTTTACAAATAAAGCACTTCATATCGGAGCCTGAAATCAGTGCTGAGCCAAGGATTTTTCTGAGGGAAAGGGGCGATGTTCTCCAGAGAGGAAAAAATACGAAATCTGGATTTGCGCAACCCAGGAGGCAGGGCTCGGAACTAGCTTGAGTGAGCAGGGCTAAGGAGTGAGCCAGTGTCCCTCCTCTGAAAGATTTTACAGACAAGATCAGGCAAACCTGAAGAGGAAAAGATCTCAGGCAAGAAGTATGGAAAGCAAAATAGAATTCAAGGTTAAACAGATGGAAAAGAATGGGGGATTCTCTCCCTCCTTAAAAAAATAGAAAAAGAAAGAAGTGAATGCAGAATAGGAGCAACACCAAGCCACATCAGGGTTCTCATAGCATCTCTCCATAGATTCCTTCCTCATTTGTGCCAACATGTGCAGAGTGTGATGGCCAGTAGCCCCACAGTGCCACAGCCCAAATCTGAAAGCCATGACCCCTGACAATGACTTTAGTTCCTTCCCTTTTAACCTGTAAATATAGGTCAGGATTTTAAGTCAGTTACAAAGGCCTCACTGTCAGCGAGGGCCACAGGTTCATGCAGGAAGGTGGGGCACCTTCCCACCTTGCTTCACTGCTGATCTGCCCTGCTTCACCCACCCTTCAGCTTGAGAACGGATGTGGTGAGCCAGCCTCGTGTGTGAATGAGCACAGCACAGATAATGACTTTACAGTTCTTCACAGTTCTCTCCATTCTCACAGACAAGGTATCAGTGACACCAGGAGCCCTCTGAGAGCCTGGGGAACAAGTTTTGGCCATTAGGTCTAAATATTTCTTCCCCTTCCACTAAGAGCTGGGGCCGTGGCTGAGGCGTCACACAGGCTATTTCTGAGCATCCATCTCTCCCCTCCCTGCTGCATTTCCTTCATTGTGTTTGAGCTCTTTCCTATCTGTGGCCTTTAAATCTCCACCAATCTGCCAGGCGCCACTCAGCACAGAAGAGGGGGGGAGGCAGACTCAGAGAGGGGGAGATCTGAACCCCTAAAAATAGCCCTGCCGAGTGCGTCTGTTTTCCTGACACAGACGGTTCATTGTTAGACTCTGACACGCCAGTTCACCCTCCCTCCCCACCCCTCAGCATACTCTCTTTCCTCTCCTGCCCCTCTCCAGAGCAGTTTCCTGTCTACTCCCATCTCTGTGGCTAAAGCTAGAGTGTATTGTGAAGCCAAAGACTGGCGTGGAGTTCTTTTGTTTCTCTGAGTACATTTTGAACCACAGAGTATGGGGTTGATCCTTGTCACAGGGCATCCACAACTCTTGGTTCCTAATTCCACCCATTCTCAGCCACACAAGCCCTGTCTCCTCAGCTCCCACCTCTCTTTTTGCCTTCTACCCTCTTGACCTACACCCTGACATACTTTGTTCTGTGTTTTTCTTTAATATGCCTCTCTGCCCTGTGCAACTGTTTTGTCAGCTATTTTGCAGATCCCAGCAGCTCAGGAACAAATGAAGGAGGCACCTCACACATGCTACCAAGTCTCCTTGCTGCTGCTTACTGTCCATGACATGACAGTGTAGCCAGGGGTATGAGGTCTGGGGATGGATTTGGCAGTGCTGGACTCAATGATCTTAAAGGTCTTTTCCAACCTACATGATTCTAAGTACCCCAATATAACATGATAATTCAGTACTGACCATACTGAGCACAACTACAAAACATGCAACTATGTTTTTAGCCAGATTGCCTTCTCTCACTGTTCACAGCCCTTTCAGAGATGTCTTGGATACAGAAAACAGGATGAGGAACATATCTCCATTCCCTAACTCAGAGCACAAACTTGTTTGAACCATGACATTTGCTTAATTCTGTGTTTGTCCAGCATCTAGCACAGAGGATGTCTAATTCTTGACTGGGGACTCAAACTGTTCATTATTTAAACAATATGATGACCATTACAGAAAGGCTTTGTGTCTCCCTGTGTAAAACTCTATTGATAGCTCAGTAATATATGACAGTATTGTAAAACAAACATTAAGAGAAAATAAATCTTTCAGACAAGCCACACAGCTAGCAAAACCTTCCTTCATCTCAGAGGCATGGTCTGAACCTCCTCCTAGCATCTTACCAGCAAGATGACCCATTTGGTGAGGCAGGAAGACCAGAAAATTTCCATGCTGGAGACATTCCAAAGTCACACAGGCCTTTCTGAGAGCATCCTGCCAGCAAATTTTTGAATAACTTTGAAGAGACAGCTGGCAACTTTATACTGAGTACAAGCAAGGTAGTGTGTCACAGAGGTGATTCCTTTAACACATTGCCTCACTGCAAATATCAACAATAAAGATTCCCACCAAACCAGGAAATGTTTTTGCCTGCTTTTTTCCATCCAATCAGCTAACCAAAGAGGCCCACAGAAACTGAAGAGCTTGCTTAAAACTACATTGTGACTCCATAGCACAGCAAAAAGCCCAATCAGCTACACCTGTAAACATGGGGAATGTCTTAACCATAAGGCCATTTCTTCTTATGTCTTACTAGTCTGTGAATACAAGTGATAATCAGAATTTTCAAGCACAGTAGTAGCTGAGAAAACTCAGTTGGGAAAGAGAATCCTGAGGAGATCTATCTCTCTCTCCCTTCAGACACCCCTTGCTTTGTCACTATG